ACTCCAACAGCTCAGAGCAACCTGAGTCCTTTGCAGACCACAGCAAGGATAACTTCCCACAGAACCTGACCACCCTTGACACACAGCTTTTTTGAAGAGGACATTTTAAAATCAGCCCTTAAAACTAGTTATTACTGGTTCTAACGGCCTCAGGAACTTAAAGTAATCTCAGTAACACTAAAGGGAAAAACATCCCGATGAATCGTCTACTCTGCACATTCGACAGCCTTTGTGCCTGGTTAGTTTGATTAAGAGTCACTCCATTTGTGTTTGATACATTGCGCCAGAGAGGGGAACAACACTAAAAAAAGAAATCAAAGCAGAAAGGCAGAATTGTGAGCTCATCACAATACAGCAGAAGCTCCAAGCTAAGCAATGCACATGTGGGTTTTTTATATATATTTTTTTGTGATGGAAAAACATTCACATTGGCAGTATCTCTCAGACTTTATGGATTAGGAGTATGTGCCATGAAAGGAAGAGAAAGCTGCATCCAAATGAAAGTGCCAAGGGAAGCTCGGCATTATGTAAGCTGGAATTTAGCCAGGATACCAGGTGTCAGGCACACCTGCTCATACCAAGAGCACACAATTTTGAATACACACGAATAGTCACAACCTGGTTTTATAGCTTAGCCACAAAGACAACAACTCCAAGTGCTCATCAACTCTGGGCACTAGGGCACTGTGACAGGCTTTAAACCATCAGGTCGAACAAAACCTATTAAATATATGACACCATTTCCTCCCGCACACACGCACATACAGAAAGTTCTCAGGAGCGATCAGTCCTCACCCAGCCTCAGAAAGTCAGTCTCCCCATGAAGGAATACAGACATTCGACTGGAAAAAAACGGCATGATTTTGCCAAAGGCAAAACTGATTTCTAACTTATTTAATGAACTTATTTATTTAATGAGATTGTATGTATGCAAGAATCGTCAGGCTGGTTCGGCAGTTTCCAGTTTGAGATATCTGGACCCCTGGATGTCCACGAACTCCTACACAGTGCCTGCAGAGGGTAAATGAGCAAAGAAAGCCTGATATTACTGCAATGAGTCCCTGCACTTGCTGGAAGATTTTTAGGGATCCACAAAGATACAAAGGTTCAAAACCCCTGGTCTATTAATTAAGCTGCTTACATGCTTTTATACACTTATTGAGACCAAAACTTACCGAGACAAATCTTGTTACTGTGACCTGTTTTGAACCTTTTATATCCAACAGCTATGTTGCAAACTATCCACCCATAGATAAAACAGAAGGAAAAATATTTGGACAATTCTCATTTAGAAATACAATTAATTTTAAATGGACTGGCAAGTTAATTATTAGAAGCATGGAAAAAAGCCCACTTGTTCCAGATAATGTCAGTAAGTGTCTACATGACTGACTGTACTTTTATTAATTCTGAGACATCTCACGCTGTATTAGTTGGCATTGTGCTGATGAAACTGAATTTCTGCAGTGTCGCTCTTTTCTAAGAATTCACAACTGGTTCAGAATCCATCCATACAAATTAAAGGTATCTGGAGATTTTTTGCTTTTCTTGTTTGAGAAAGAGACCGTGAGAAATAAGATCAAAATAGGCAAAGACACAAGACCACATCCATCATAGCATGCAAAAATTAACCACCTCAAAATCACATGTAATTTCTTAAGGGAGGTGGGGTGATCTATGCACCAATCTGAATAGCTCAGTTAAGCTGTCAGTTAAGTCAGAGGTTGAGAATAAATGAGCTTTTATAATGAATTAACATGGATATGCAGGCCATATGAGAACTATTACATTCAAGCTGACAGTATTCTGCACTCTTGACTGGGTATCAACACTCTCAAGAAGGATACTGAAAGTTAAAATTGGGTATCCTATAGTAAATGAACCTGAAGGGCTACTGGAAAAGATACAAATACTAAACAATGCATTTTAAAAGCATTGAGTGTTTCCATTTAATTTCCTTGCAGCAAGAACAACAGATCACCTAGCAAAATTAAAAAGGCAAATATGAAAATTACCCAGCCTACATGTAAGCAAAAGAAAGACTGAACGACCACCAAAATCCTGCAGGCACATCCCTTGCTCTGCGACTACATCAGTTGAACAAAAAGCTGCGATGCAGAATAAACTGCAACATTTTATATCCCTAATAATGTCCCTTGCACACCTACCAGACACAAGCAAAATGTTTATCCTCCTGCTTCAATGCCAGGAAGAAAGTTCCCATTACTTCTCTCTACCGCTATGTTACAGTAGAGACTTTTAAAATAAAAATATACATTAACATAGATTTTAACTTTATTCAAAGAGGATTTTTATCTGTAGATCATTCACTGTATGATTTTAAAAATTCATAATGAGTATAATACTGTTGGATATGACAGGCTTCTAGAGACTAAGCGGAGAGCATGAGCCATAGCAGAGTATGGAAAAGTGAGAACGTTATATGTTACTCCTCTACCAACAAAAGAAGCAGCTCTATAAACTACCACTCATCCTCCTTGCCAGCCAAAGAAGTGCACAAGAGCAGCTGGCAAGAAAGAAGAAAGGCATAAAAGGAAAGGTGATGAGATCATGAGCTAACAGGAGAAAGAACATGCTGCTGTCTGTGCTCTATGGAAGCTCCACATAGGAGCAGAGAGCACCTGCCAACAGCTACACTGGTAAACAAATCACCATGGAACATGGATGCTTTGCATGTGGATTTCCAGAAAATAAAGAAACCAAACCACAGAACGCCGTTTCCTTATGTATGTACTTCGACTTTCTTCAAGGAATTAATCTTGCTGGCTCTAAATGATAAATTCACATCTGAATTTGTGTCAAACATACCAAGAAATAATACTTGTTTCCTCTTTTTCCTTTGATTCTCTGCAGACAGTGATGGCTACCACATTACCAGCCCAGAAATTCCATTTACATGAATTAGAAAATAAAAATAATCTTCAGAGTCCCCGTTCTCCCATACATCATCAGAAAGTCTTCAACCCAACAAACAGCCGCTATGCTAGCCGAGCCAGAGCTGTTCCTCTCCCTCTACTGCTTTCCAGCAGCCCTCGCTGACAGATTCAGGGTCAGGATCCTGAAAAGGATCTGGAGATCCTTTCTGCTTCCCAGCCAGCAGCAACAACAGAGCAGAGGAATGCTCCGACCTTGTCTGCGGTCACCAAACCCATCCATGACGCATCCTCACTTGCATAGTGTCCGCTGCCTAAGCATCAAGTGATTAATTAGCTGTAAAGTTTCCACAGGATGCCTAATGGTAGGGGAAAATGGGCAAAGGGAGGGTAATCAAGAATTTGAACAGAGAAGTGATGATAAAAAGAAGCTTTGGAAGGATGAGGTCTAAGAAAAGAGCATGGGAAAACCTGTGAAAGGACATGAAGAATCCAGCCCAGGAGTCAACCAGACTGGGGTTACAGTGGGGAAGGGAGGAAATGAAAATTCAAAGTGATGAAAACTCAAAAGGCGTAACTGAAATAAAGAAATTTGACATGTCTAGTGGTTTTTATTGTGCAAAAACAGATAAACAGTGTTCAGCAAGTAAATTACTCAGTAAATTCCACTATATTTTTTTTTTGCCACAGCTATTGTGACCAACTGAATAGCTGTGCAAATATTCCCAAAATGATGACAACATTCATCACACTAGAGATATCAAAACACAGGCTATCTGATCTGCTATTACGAAGCTAGCTGAAAATATATTACGATTAAAATTCTGCAAGCAACAGACAACAGAGAACTACCATATTTTACTCCTTTGAGCTGCATGGGGAGGAGGGAAGGTTTTTCATAGCATATTCACGCTTGTATTTGTCAAGTAGCTTGGAGATGTGTAAACTTCCTTTCAACACTCTCTGCTTGAAGAATGCCCTTCTGTATGATTTAAACCTGAAACTTATATTCCATAAACTCCAAATATGTTTTTCCCAAAACACAAATGCCATTTCGACTCTAAAGGTGATCTGTCCTCTCATTGTGTATTTTAGGATGAGATCTGATGTGGTGACAGTGCAGGTCTAACAAAAGGAAGTCATTAAATCTTGATAAACTATTTAAATAGGAAACATGACGTGAAGAGACCAGACAAACCAGGCAGGAAAGCTGTCAGCAGAACGATTAATTGTCTGGTGGAGAATTTTGATTGCCTGATGTGCCTATTAGCAGGGAACTTATGCCTTAAAAAAACCCCTCCTATCAATAGAGAAGTTGATGCAGAAAAGCATTTTTACATTTTAGTCTGTATTACTTATATTCTCAAGAGTGACGATAAATTATTTCAGAATCCTATTTGCAAAAGTCTGCCTCTCTTTTCCTAAACATTCTCTTATTCCCATGCAGCCCTGGGGAAGCACACTCTAAAATCAGTAGGCCCACAAGGTTTGGGGGAAGATTAACTTTAAGCTACTGGAATATGTTACAGAAGCAGGCTGCTTCCCTGGGAAGTAGCACACTTACAGCTTGCCTTTGTGAAGAGGCAACAGAGGTTTTAAAAGCGCTCTAAGCCCCTTAGGATAAACAGAAACTTAAACTGGTTGGGTCTGAGCCTGTAATGTAACCAAAAGGAAGAGCAACACCAGAAGCACCTCCCCTGTGCCAGCTGGGAGCATCTACACTTAATGAACCTACTTCACACATTACACAAGCTCTTACAATACCAGGGCCAAGTACTTGCATAGTCTGTGCACGTAGGTGTGTGCTGCTTTGCTTGTTTTCTGTTTCTAAAAGTACCTGGTTTTCAAAAAGCAATCCACAAAATAACAAGTTGTTTTTTTTTTTTTTTTTTTTTCTCCTTGTCTGTACAGGAACTCTGTCACTTCCAGCCTTTCTTGTTTTTCTGAACAGATTTATTCCTTATGATCTCCCTGATGTAGTTTATCTTTGCCACCATCTCTCTGTTACATACTTTTACTACAAGTTAACTACCCTCATAAACTCCTCCTTTGAAACACATTCTGGATGGGATAAATACATAAAAATAAATGATCAAATTTCTATACCTGTACCAGCCAGATCCCATCTTTTGTGTCTTCTACAAGCTCATAGAAGTGCATTTCACCACTGAAGTTTGTACTGGAAACTGATTCAGAGGCCTCTTCCTCCTTGAGAGCAGAATAAAGCTCTCCTTCCATGAGGTCTCCTGAAAGAGAGACAATTGTAGAAATTCAGTTAAAATGGTACTTGAGAAAGATCATTTCATAAATTCTAGCAACAATTTAGTAAGCTATATTTTATGTGGTTGCTGAAAGAACCTTTTCAGTACAAATGCAGCTAAATTTTAAAGTTACTATAATTCTATCTATAGTGACATGACCGAATAATTTTACTTCAGCTGTCAGACCACAGAAGACATGAACACTGTACCGCACATGCTCCTGAGCAGACAAAAGAATAAACTAACATCTTACAAGCCTCACTCTGCAAATAACAATATTCAGTGGTTGAGAGCAATTTTAATTGACGTATCTTTGCTTTCATTTCATATGATAGCAATTTTGCAGCAACCAGCTTTTTATCACTGATAATTCAAACAGACTTCCAAATTTTCAGTCAATAATTTTATACCAAAAAAAGGTGTTGATTGTCTCATTGCAAGGAAAAATCTCAGGTAGAATAATTTAACGGTTGGCTTCTGTTTGCACAGTTGGAAAAAGTTCTCGTGAACTCCAACCCTAGCATGGTAAAGAGCTCACAGTAAAATCACCTGATAGTGCTTCCTTTGTAATCCCATTTCCTTCTCATGCTCTGTTTCACAATCATTACAAACACTGTTAATCACAACTAGCATTCTAGTAACTAATCTATTAAGCTTGAAGACATGAATTCCTGTCCAAAAAGGCTGTTTTCTTCAAAATATAAAAGTGTAACAGCTGAAACCCTTGAAGGGTTTCCAAAAGTATTCACAGAATTTAGGGAAGAAAAAAAAAAAAAACTACAGAAAAATGCTGTGAAGTCTGTTGGTATGAGAAGTGTTTCCATGACATTTGAAGAAGTCGGTTAATACAGTTTGTTTGGAGTTAAACACTTCCCTGCAGCATTTGCAACCCAAACATCATGACATCATGGAAGTACCTGACAGTCAAGGAGTGAAAGTGATTGGAAACAAAAGCGAAATCACCTAATGCTTTTTACCGTTGGAGCAGCAAAGAGAATAAACAACATAAATAAACAATGAACAATAAAAGCAAATTAGATTTAAATGCCCAGCATTAATATAAATTATTTAAAGCAGTTAGCATTTTTAAGGCTATGGCACTCACTACTTTCATCCAAATAATTTTTTTTTTTTCCTGTCTGGACATTTGAGCCCCTCACCGCTTATCCCAGTCACTGGGATTTCTCTCTCTCCTGGATCAGTTGCCCTTTGATCATTGATTTAAAAGCAGCTACTCACATTTTCCTGCTTGGCTGGCACTACAGCTATTACATCAGCCCCATCTCCCAGTCCTTGGGGCCAGCTCCCTCCGACTACTCCAGGCTAGCATCCTTACTTTCAAGACACTTCTGCCACTCCTTACATCGCCTCTGCTCTTCACCCTTCACTATCCACCACCTCTCAAAAGTCCACCTTTTTGACCTCGGTTTCCCTACTTCCAAAATGCCTTTCTAGCCTTTTTTCCAAGCCATTTTTGGTACATAGGATCTACTTCTGCTCTTTTTCTATAAAACCACCGCATCCCTCAGCACCCATCCCTTCTGCTCCTCAGCCTTAAAATCACAGCTTTGCTCAGTACCCATCTTGATAGCAATACCTGTAATAAAATCAGTAAATGAGCAGAGAGGAATACATGGAAAAAAGCTGGCCCCAGCTGTAAATAGTAACCCACTGCCTATATCTGTTTTTTTCCTCCTCGTTTCTCACGACAGGCAACATTCGCTCTCATCTGTGCGACCACCACCTCGCCACCCAGACCCCAACCGCCCGCACCAACCCGGTGTAACTCAGCTTTAAGAACCGTTTTTCTCGGTGACCCGTCTAACGAAGGCCTTCCCTCCACGCAGCCGATTTGGGCTTAAAATGCCGCCGAGGTTTTTAACGTCACCATCCCTTGCCTTCCTCCATTTAACCGCTCCGGCGTCTCGGTCCTTGGGGGGGGGGGGGGGGGGGGGGGGGGGGGAAGCAGCTGGGTCCCCAAATTCACCCTGAGAAAGCGCTGGGTGGGGGGCAGTGTCTCCATCCCAAGGGCGCCAGGAGCCCCCGAGGGGGGTCACCGGGGATCGCCTTCCCCACGCGTGGGTGGCAGGGGACCGACCTCTCTCCTCACGCGTGGGTCGCTGGGGACCGAACCCCACCCCCCCACCCCCCCCTTCCCACGCGTGGGAGACGGGGGAGCTCCTCGTACCTGACTTCTCCACCAGCTCCCGCACATCTTTTTTCTCGGGCAGCCCCGAGTGCCCCAGCCCCCGGCACTCCAGGATGGTCCGCAGCTTCCTGAAGCTCAACGCCACCGGGTCCACCAGCTGCGTGGCGAGGAAACCGCTCTCGTACCACGCCACGGCCTCGAACACCCTGGCCAGGACGAAGAGAGCCAGGAAGTAAAGCAGCAAACAGCACAGCTTCACCCACATCTTCCCGCCGGAGGAAGGGTGGGGGGGGGGGGGGAAAAGGGAGGGGAACGGGGGGGGGGGGGGCTGCCCGCGGAGATCCGCGCCGGAGATCGCGCTGCCGCGGGGCGGGGAGGGGACGGAAGGGAGGGGAAGGAAGGAAAAGGGAACCGGGGCGGGGAACGGGAGGGGGGGGGGTGGGGGGGGGTGCTGTCAGCACCGCGGGGCCGTGGCCCCCCCGCCTCCCTCCCGCCGCTGTCCCCGCCCCGGCGGAGCCGCGGCCGCCGGCGGAGACATAACAAGTGACGTGAGCAGCCGGGGCGGGGTGGGCACCGCCCCCCCCCTCCCCTTTTTACACCCACCCCCCCCCCACCCGTGATTCAGCACCACCGGGAGCGGGTGGGCATCCGTGTCCCTACCCCCCCGGCAGCGACCGCTCTTGCTGCAATCAAAAATCCGACTCAGTATAAACACCTCGACTAGCTCGGGGAGATCCAACACACACACGCACCACGCCCCCCCCCCCCCCCCGGGTGTTTTTTAAGAGAAGAAAAATATTGACACGGCTGGAATTGCGTCGCTCTGTTTGGACAGTTTTAAGACGGCACCGTTGGTTTGTATTCGGGCCGCTGGGTGCATTTGGGTGTCGGTGTGATCCCTGCGCTCCTTTCCCCACCCCTTCGGGGCCGCTGGAGCAAAGAATAAAGTGAAATTCATCCGCATGGATTGAAACTGGGGTGCTGCAGCTTCGCACTGGCGATCGAGCACCTTCAACTTGTGCTCAAGGCAACCGGTGAGCACCACGACTCCTGACAAAGGTTTAAACTGGGTCTGCTCTTCACATGGGAAGCATGTGGAGTGCAGCGTGGATCCTCGTTTGAGTGGATCCACAAGTAATCATCTCGGGCTACACAAGAAGTGTTAGGCTGCTAAAATACAATTTAATCTGCTATACAAAAAACACACTAAAACCAAGCTTTGTCTTCAAGACAAAGACTCTCCGCTGAAGGAAACTCAACATTTCCTTTATATGTTATTTTAAGAATCCATAATTTGCATGAAAATTGCCAACTCATACAGATGAGCACAAAAATAGCATAGCTCAATTTTTAAAGCAGTCAACCCCCTCCCAGAGCATACACCCTGATGTAATTCTGTACTATCAAATTTCAAAAAACCACATTAATATTGACCTGTTGAAAGCATTTAAGTGGCTGTACTCCTCAGAGCCTTTAAAATACATTTATGGGGTTGCCACCATGTTGATACGATTTAAAAAGGAAAAAAAGATAAACAACCCATATTCAGCCTGTTTTGTCACACAGCCACCATGGCCCCTTCAAGAAGAAAAATCACGACACCGTTTTCTTCAGCCATGGGCTCATTTTGTTTCTTGAACGGGGAAGAGTGGAGAATTAGTGGAGAGAGTACAGAACTAGCCACCCACAAACGGAGCCCTTATGGGCTGATAAATGTCTTGCCTTGCACTGGAAGCCATACAAAACTTTATTCTTCCGAATTTTTATATGGTAAAGATTAGAAGTGGACTGCTGACCCTACCTCTGCTCGAGGAAATACAAAGGGATTTCAGCAGCTCAGCTGGGTTTGCAGCGAGCCTCGGGTAGGAGCTCCACCTGGGGCAGAACATACTGGAGCACAGTCGTGGGAGGCCAGGTTGAAGCACTGCTCTCTCCTTCAAATCCACGCCAGTTTCCTAAACTCCCCCTGCAACAGAGCGGGCCCGTCTCCCTACCGAGAAAGTGGCAAAGCATCAATAAGATGAATCCTTTCCCCTTGGCAAAAGAAAAAAAAAAAAAACAAAACACACAAACAAAAAGAGAATGGCTTTGTTATTGCAGCTGGCAGAGCCAAAGGACTTTGGAAACACCTGCTCACCACCACCTGTCCAGAGGGCTGGAGGCAGGCTCTCCCCCAGCCCTGAAAAACACCACCCAGCAACACAGTTCTTTTCCAAAAGCTTTGTGAAGGCTCATTTCTTTTGTCACATGCACAAGAAGTTGCCTGATTCCTCTACCTTTTGTTTCAAGTGAGCAGCCAGAGCGTATGTGAAGTGATGGGTGGGAGGAAGAGACGGGAGCTAGGTGTTTGAAGAGCAACCTTGTATATTTAACTATAGTTAGAAAAGATATTGTTGGGTTGTTTTTTTTTTTTTTTTTGTTCGTTTGTTTTCAATGAGCACCACAGACCCCTCTCCACCCCTTCCCGTGTGTCTCCCCTGTAACTCATTTGGGGATGCCCTTGCTTCCTCCGGCAGGAAAGTACCTAGCAACAATTACGAGTCTACGCTCACAGCTAAACTATTTGCAACACCAACTGCTGGGGAGGCTGTCACCAATATGTCATTTCCTAATGCTCATGGGCTGAGTTAAATCAATTCTTAACATTCCCCAGTGGTAACTGATGACAGGTCCCCTGCAGAGACAAAGCTAATCATCTGCCAAAACTGAAAACCCTGGAGTTGTTTTAAGAAAGTAAAAATGATGTTTCAAACCACAACTCAACCCCCACCCCCCCCCAGAACAACCCAAAGCAAAGCAGCTGCCAACACGGAAGCACTCAGGCAATGAGATGGGATGGGAGCAGAGCTGCAAATGAAGAGCAGGGCCGAGCACAACCAAGAACTGCAGGTGCTGAGTTGACCAAAGGCCTGGCATAGAAAACCTAAACAGATTTGGTTCCTCACCCAGGCTCTCTGATCTCTCCCCTCCCTACCTTTACATCCCTCATTTACTAAGCTGACCCCACCAGAAAATGTTGTATTTTCTAGATACAGCTGTCATTTGTTGGTTTCCAGTTGCAACTCAGAACATCTTTGGCATGTCACCTGCAAACAATTTTTCAGGGAGTTTTAATTATCTGGAAAATCTAAATATCTTAACAGTGAATTAAAATTCATTTGGGCTGAAGACAAAGATGAAACATGCTGACATTTTTAAAGACCCGAGGGTTAACTCTACATAATTAACGACATTAAACAGTCATCAGTCAGTCAGTTCTGTGCTCATAGAGCAAATATTACAAATGTGAAGAGAATGACAAATATAAATTCCACCTTTACACAAAAACCCAAAGCAGGGAGCTGCTTTTAAACAATTTTGGCAGCAAAAATATTTTACTATGAATTACGAGCAAATGAGACCAAATCCTGAGAACTGGGACAGCCATCTTTTCTTGTCAGCCAGCCAGATCTTAAGCCTCTGCTGCCCTCTGATAAATGGCAAGGATTCCCTCTCCTCCCCCATCCACCCCTACGGGCAGTTGCTGACTGCACAGTCTGGGAATACAGACAATAATCCACCTTCCAGACTGCTATGGTGAACATTAAGAAGAGTATTGTCATTTTGAAGTCAGTAAAAGCAAGGATTGAAAACCTTAATTCAATCCCTTACCACGTTAAAATAGTATTGAACCTTTTGTTTTGGACAGTTTTAGTATTTCCATATATCAAGATAAATTTCAGCAAACTAATATTTAAACTACCTGAAATCCAGTTTTCCTAAGAGCCAGCCAACTCTGTAAATACAACTGTTAAGAGTTCACTGACATAAGTCTCTTGATGTAGCTCCTAAACAACATAGGTGTATGTCAACACATTTCTATGTCTGATATGAAACCATGGCTTGTCATTATCTGATATTAAATAAACCAACAAGCCTGGATGAGAGTCTCAAAGAAAGACGACAGCAGCTCAGACATTATTTTGTTGTATGTAGAGGAATTTCACACCAGAAGATGTTTCCTACTGTCTACAAGCGGCTCAATAGAAGTAGATTTAATATATAGGTGTTATTCTGCAGTACAATGGCCAGTATATGACAGCTCTCTAAAGCACTGGCTATTTGGGTGAGGCAATCCTGAGGTGATCTAGTAGTGATTCACAGAGTAATTCAGGCTGGACAGGACCTCAGGAGGTTATGGCATCCAACCTCCTGCTCAATGCAAGGTCAGCTGCAGCACCAGAGCAGGCTGCTCAGGGCTTTATGCAGTCTACAGTTTTGTCTGATGGTCACCCCTTCCTCTCTTGTGGCAATTTTCCTTGCCTACAAACATGCAGTGGTCAACAGCACAGAAACACGCATCAGTCAAGGCCAAACCAACTTACAGGAGGGGAATACATTAATTAAAGCTTAGCTTAATAAGACACTTTTTTCCTAGGCAGTTGGGTGTTTTCTTTATAACAAAAACTATTTGTTGCCCCCTGAAGATGACAGGCTCTCTTTAGTGAGTGAAAAAAAAAAAAAAAACAAAAACCTTGCTTGAACGTGCTGAGATTACCAAGAAGCCCATAGTAGTAAACAACAAATTAAACCACTGTGCTAATGACCTAAGAAATGAGAAGATACATGCACGTCTTTAAACATCACCTATGATTACATGAAGAGCAAGAATACAAACAAAAGCAGCAGTTTGGGCCTAAATCTGAAAGAATGACAGTGACTTGCAAGCACCTAAACAAGTCGGATATTCTTATGAGAATACAGATTTCTTGATTTTCTTGTCCTGTTCCAGCAGTGCGGTCACAAATGAAGCAACATTGTCCAGGACTCAGACCAAAGTGTTGGGTTTGCAGTCAACTTTGTCCAAGTTTATTAGGAGCTTTGGTTGTAGTGTGCTACAGAAAACAGAGAGTTGTATCTGGCTTGTGCTGCTGTTTCCAGATACCAAGGCTGGAGTACCTTAAGTGGTATTTGAGCCAAGACGTTTCTTTTGAGCACATTTTTACAAGACACTTGCTAGTCGGATGCATGACTTCAGTCTGTAAGTCAACATAGAACTCAAGAGGAAGTTTACTGGCCAAGTTAACAACCTAATGACAGGATAATTATTCCGTTTCCGGCACGCCAAGGCCTTTTAACGCAGCCCTGACTCTGTTTAAAGCTGCCCTTCGGTATGTACTTGTGAAATGTCGGGGGCAGCTGCGAGATATGTTCCCCACAGCCTGCCTGGAAGCGAACCCCCTCCTGCCCCTGGTGCCACACCGCATAGCTGAGCCCCACCCCCCCGCCGCCCGGGGGTTTTACCTCAGCGCGGACAGTACACCTTCCCCCCCCCCCCCCCGGCCCTGGTGCAGGGCCACCCGGCCCTGCTGCGCTCCGTCACACGCCGGCCCAAGGGGCCGCGCAGCCCGACCCTCAAAGTGCGGGGAGGAGAGGAGCCGGCCCGGCCACCCGCGGGCTCCTGCATGGCCGGGGCAGCCCGCGGAGAGCTGCCGGCCCCCGACCCGA